TGTGATTCCTTCGATTTGGTGGAATCGCTTGATGAAGCACATGAAGGGAATATTCCTTCTCTGAGGATCACATGGTTTCTGTTTCATCCTCAACTAAACACTGAAATGGTGGGCTAGGGACGGAATTGTAGAGAGACAAGTTATGGGCTGTGCAATCACAATGTATTGATCGGTACATCAGACACATATATATAAGTACAGAGGGAGGGCCACATCCTCAACTATACAGAGAAAATAGGAGGTGGGCCCTATACACAATATATACGTACATAATATCTCAACCCCCCTCCCCCCGCAGTCGAAGCGGCGCCAGTGACGCAGAGACTAGAACGAAACTCCTCGAAGGTGGAAGTCGGCAGTCCCTTAGTCATCACATCGGCGAACCCTTGTGCAGTCGGAACATGGAGAACCCGAATACGTCCAAGGGCCACCTGCTCGCGCACAAAGTGAATACCCAGCTCAATGTGCTTCGTCCGGCGATGATGAACGAGGTTGGCGGAGAGGTACACCACAGAAACGTTGTCGCAGTAGACAACCGTAGCCTGGGAGACGCCGTGATGCAGCTCCTGAAGTAACTGTCGTAGCCAGGTGCACTCAGCAACAGTGTTAGCCACAACTCTGTACTCAGCCTCCGCGCTGGAGCGCGAAACCATGGGTTGTCGCTTGGACGACCACGAGACGAGTGAAGGACCGAGGTAGACGCAGTAGCCAGAGGTGGACCGACGAGTGTCTGGGCAGCCAGCCCAGTCCGCGTCAGAGTAGGCCATCATCTCCAAAGAAGTGGACGCCGTGATGGTGAGCCCGAGGGTCATCATGCCGCGAATGTAACGGAGGATCCGCTTCACGAGAGTCCAATGGGAGTCACGAGGGGCGTGCATGTGGAGACACACCTGCTGAACAACATACTGAAGATCCGGTCTGGTGAGAGTCAGATACTGAAGAGCACCGACGATGGACCGGTAGAAAGGAGCATCCGACGCCGACGAGCCCTCAAGAGCGGAAACCTTGGCCTTCGTGTCAACAGGAGTAGCAACAGGGTGACCGTTGAGTATGCCAGCACGCTCAAGAAGCTCGTGCGCATACTTCTGCTGATGAAGAAAGAAGCCGCCCGGTCGTTGAATGACCTCAATGCGAAGGAAATAATGTAGAGCACCCAAGTCCTTGATGGCAAACTCGTCACGCAGCCGAAGAGTAATCTGCTGAAGTAGAGCTGCGGAGGAGGCCGTCAGGATGATGTCGTCGACGTAGAGGAGCAAATATGCAGTCGTGTCACCGTGGCGATAGACAAACAGTGAGGCATCCGAGCGACTGACGATGAAGCCCAGTGTCTGAAGAAACCCGGCGATCCGCTGGTACTAGGCTCGGGGTGCTTGCTTGAGCCCGTAGATAGACCGGGACAACAAACACACATGGCCAGGAAGAGATGCGTCGACGAAGCCGGTGGGCTGCTCACAATAAACCTGCTCCTCAAGATGGCCATGGAGGAAGGCGTTGGAGACATCCATCTGATGAACAGGCCAGCCTCGAGACACCGCAAGCTGGAGGACCGTGCGGATCGTGCCCGGTTTAACAACCGGGGCAAACGTCTTAGTGAAGTCAACTCCAGCGCGCTGTTGAAAACCACAAACTACCCAGCGAGCCTTGTAGCGCTCAAGTGTACCATCCGAGCGGGTCTTGTGGTGAAAGACCCACTTGCCGGTGATGACATTGGCGCGAGGAGGCCGGGGAACCAATGTCCAGGTATGGTTCCGCTGAAGAGCGTCGAACTCTTCCTGCATCGCCGTAAGCCAGTGAGGATCACGGAGGGCTGCGCGAGTGGACGTGGGAAGAGGAGACGGCTCCGCGGTGGAGGCGGCAAGGAGGTACTCGTCGCCCGAGTACCATAGGCTCGGACGGTGAACGCCTATCCTAGCCCGTGTAACAGGGCAAGACGGCAACACCGGAGCGACCGGCGAGGCGGCCGGCGACGCGAAGCGGCCGATGACGGGGCTGGGGAAGGGGCCGGCGACGGGGCCGGCGAGGCGACGGCCGAGCCGGCGGCCCCCGAGTCCGCGGTGCCCGAGTCGGGGGCGACGGGTAAAGGGGGGCGCCGGCCGAGGCGTTGTGGTCGGCCAAGGAGATCGAGAAGGCATGCACTGGCGTGGGGGCGCGAGGCGCAACTCGTCACATGGTGCGAGGACCGCCAAAGCCCGGAGGCGGTCTGAGAGCCGGGCGGGACCGTCCACCTGACGGAGTCGCCGAGGGGCCGTCGACGGCCGGCGACGATGAGGCGACAAGGGGTACCTGCTGCTGAAATAGAAACACCATCTCATCAAAGTAAACATGTCGGGAGGTGAAAACACGATAGGAGACAGGATCATAGCAGCGGTAGCCCTTAGTGTTAGGTGGGTAGTCGAGAAAGATGCAGGCGACGGAGCGGGGTGCAAGCTTATGAGGCATAGTAGTGGCGATGCTAGGGTAGCAGAGATAGCCGAAGATGCGAAGCTCATCATAAGACGGTGGTGCACCGAAGAGGAGGTGATGAGGTGCAATGTTCCCGCGAGTGCGACATGGACAGATGTTAATGAGGAGTGAAGCAGTGGCGAGAGCGTCATGCCAAAAGCGCGGAGGCACATTGGCGTGAAAGAGAGTGTCCGAACGCAGTCATTAAGAGTGCGAAGGATACGCTCAGCGCGACCGTTCTGCTGCGAGGTGTACGGGCAAGTGAGACGAAAAGTCATGCCATGTGTGGTGAGAAGAGTACAAACAACGAGGTTGTCGAACTCCTTCCCGTTATCTGTCTACAACGCGAGAATGGGATGACCAAACTGCGTGAGAACATAGGAGTAGAAAGCGACGAGAGTGGATATAGCATCAGACTTGCGGCGCAACGGGAAGGTCCACACATAATGCGAGAAAACATTAAGTATGACAAGATAATAAAGATAGCCCGTATTACTGGCAACAGGAGTGGTCTAAACATCACTATGAATTAACTCAAATGGATACGATGCAACATGAGAAGAAGCGCTAAACGGGAGACGAGCATGTTTGCCGAGGCGACATGCATGACACGAGTGATCCTCGTTCTTATTACACGTGAAAGAAAAACTTCGAAGTATATGACGAAGGTTGGCGGAATTGGGATGACCCAAGCGAGCGTGCCAAAGATCCACTCCGGCGGCGAGAGCGACAGGGGCGGCGGAAGTGGCAGAGGTGGCGGAGTGAACCGGGTAGAGCTCGTCGGGGCTGTCACATCGGTGGAGTACCATCCGGGTGCGAGCGTCCTTAACAGAAAAACCACATTCGTCAAATTCAACGGTGACATGAGTTTCACGTGTAAGAGAACGAATAGAAACAATATTTTTAATAAGTTCAGGAGAAACTAAGACATTAGACATGGATATTGGAGTGGAGTTAGACGGAAAATATGCATGGCCAATGTGAGTAATAGGAAGAGAGGAGCCGTCACAGACGGTGATGCGGTTTGAAGTATGGACGGGATAGGAGGTGTGGAGGTTACCGAGATAGGGCAGCCATATGCGCGGTAGCTCTAGTGTACATTTACCAGTCGCCGCCGCCGGTGTAGGTGGACGGTGAAGGGGCGGTGTGAAGAGCCGCCAGAAGAGCCGGGTCACACGGCGCCGGCGGAAGAGGCTGCTGCGGGGCCGTCAGGGGCAGCAGCGGCAGCTCACCTGGCTGCGGCTGCTGGCGGTAAGAGAGAGGCCCATAGGGCGCCGCATAGGGCTATGGCGCGGCGTAGAACGCCTGGTGCGACGGTGGCCGGGCGCCAAGAATACCCGAGGTAGGGGCACGGGGAACTGGCATGGAGTAGGCATGCACAACGCCGGTCCATGGGTTCTGGTCGGCGTACCACGGGGCCGGCTGGTAGGCCTGCTGCAGTGGGCGGGGTGCTCCTCCCTGAGTGCCTGCGCCCCCTGCTTGCGGCCGCCGTGACAGCCGCCGCGACGACCCCCCATTGTCCGCCTGCTGGGGCGACGGGAAGGGAGCAGCCGGGGCAGGCGGGAAAGCGGGCGCCGCCGGCTGAGGCGGCATCGGGTGCGAAGGTGGCGGGGCTTGACCCCCGCGGGTGCCGGCGATGAGGGCGGTGTGGGTCGCCCGAGTC